CAAAAGAAAGAGACTGGGCTGCATCAGCCCAGCCCCCAATACACACAAAAATAACCATAGAGAACATAAGCTCCCCAAGGAGCTCTAAAGTGAAGCGCCTTCACCTAATACCTAATTTGAGGTGGGTTAATTTGTCATGCAGTCAGCTACTTTAAGAGCAGTCTGTAGCTCTGCACACGTGCCACAGCATGGCACAGCTGTAAAGTGCTTTCAGGGGCTCTACTGTGCAAAAAATGTAACTTGTGTAAGCAGTAACCATCCCAAATGATCTCCTGAGGTCCCTTTCCAACACTACTTTTTATAATTCTGTTATGGTGTGGAACTTTTAAGACAACATTAGTCACTGACTTCAAAAAGAGGCAAGTGTTTGAGGTCCCTGGCACCAGTAGACACGATAGAGCCGCCCCCTGTATGATCAGGATGGAGGGGATTGAACAAGATTCTAGCAGCTTCTCATAGTGCAATCGAACATACCAGGCAGAGGAACAGGCCAGTGGATCCACCTCTATAAGGCTCCCTCTGCTATGGGCACTGATTTGGACTTCTTAGATTGCATTCCAGTCTGGAGGAAAGGTTAGTATATGTTGTCCGCTTCCCAAGAACACCTATGCATCATCCTAAACAATAGCCCATTTGGACCAGACACTGGGACCAGTGCATGACCTACAGGAAATATAAAGCCCAGTCATGGAAGTTTTCCATTTAGTCAGTGAAGGACGGATTCAGGATGGAGAAAAATCAGATTTGTTTTATGTAATTGTATTTTTTATTTATTTATTTTTGGTTGGGATGCTTTTTAAAAAAAATAAACCTATATAAAGATTATTTTAATTTAAGATATGTTAAAGCTCAACGATATCATAATGGAATAGGGATTATAACCTCTAATTATGTCCTATTTGAGATGATACATTCATGTAATGTTTTTAGAAAAGTTTTATAAATAGGTCACACAGGCCATGGACTATATTAGGGGCCCAATCTTATGGGGTTCCCAGAAGCTCTTCTATAGGTTATTAAAGATTAAAGAAAACCACTCTACTCAATGGGATTCAGTGCCCAGTCTAGAAGATCCAGCAGGCTATGGGAGAAGCTCTGTTCCCCTGAGCACTACCCAGAGTAACTAGGAATAACGGCCATAAATTGATCGTGAGTAGGTTCAGGCTAGACATCAGGAGGCACTACTTCACAGTCAGGGCAGCTAGGATCTGGAACCAACTTCCAAGGGAAGTGGTGCTTGCTCCTACCCTGGGGGTCTTCAAAAGGAGGCTAAATGAACACCTAGCTGGGGTCGTTTGACCCCAGCATTCTTTCCTGAATTCCTGCCCATGGCAGGGGGTCGGATTTGATGATCTGCTCAGGTCCCTTCCGACCCTACCAACTATGAAACTACAAAACTATCCCATTAAGCATCTCTGTGATGCTTAGTTTCAGTTCTCAAACTGTGGATTTGTGTCTCCAGAGATAACATCCTTGTTAACAGCAGTATATGGAAATGAGAGATGAGGTAACAGACCTGATTACTACAACTGTGCGAAGTTTTGGTCCCCGATTCGACTCAGCAGAGAATCAGCCTGATTTTGTTAACAGCAGTATATGGAAATGAGAGATGAGGTAACAGACCTGATTACTACAACTGTGCGAAGTTTTGGTCCCCGATTCGACTCAGCAGAGAATCAGCCTGATTAGTGGCTGAATCCCTGAATCTGAATCAAATCAGAGGACCCTTTAATCTCTCCAAATCAAATTGAAACCCTCTGAATTGATTCAGAGAGACTTGGAGATTTGGACATAGATACAGCTTTAAATGTTTTTTCTACATACCTCTAGGTAGCAGGTGGCTAGTGAATGCTGCGATGCTGGGGTGCATGGAGCGCCCCACAGGAGCATGGGGGGCCCCTCCAGCACGCTCCCCAGCTTGGATCACTGCCGAGCACATGGAGGCCCCCACTGCACTCCTGTGGGATGCTTCATGCACCCCAGCATTGCAGCGATCACAAGCTGCGCCTTCTACTTCAAGGTATGTAGAAAAAGCTTTTAAAGCTGTGCCTGTTTCCAAATCACTGATCCTCCGAATCAGCATTGAATCTTCAGATTCAGATTTTGGCCGAATTGAATCAGGGACAGTGCTACTTTAACTACAACTTAACTTTTTGAAAAATATGCTACCTTGATTAAAGTATTTTCAGTGATGAAGAAACCACCACAGCCCTAGGTAAATTGTTTGTGTGGTTAATTATTACTGTTCCAAGTTGGAGCTTTATTTAGCATTTGAGCTTTTTTAGCTTCAATTTTCTGCCCAATCTTGCTAAATCTTTATTTATTTATCTACAGATTTAAAATGTCTAACTTTAGTTCCTGCTGTTTAACATCTTTCTGAGTTGCTCTTGATCAGGAAAGTATTTTATTATCAGCATATAATACAATTATACATCACTCGAATTATTCCAAATATAGAGCAAAAACAAATTATTGAACACATCCACCTTTCCATCCTTAATGTTGACAGCTTTACCACTTAATTCTCATTTTTATATTCTTTTTGTCTCAAATATATTTTAAAATTTTCCTACTTATCTTTAATTCTGCTTGATTTAGATATTTCTTTGTGTTCTTTTGCTTGCCTTATCAGTTTATCTACAATTACTTTTGATTTATACCCATTACTATCAACTTCCATTCTATTCCATATACAGTAAAAGTTCTGTTAGCTGGCATCTTACAAGCTGGCATGTTCTACTAACTGACATGCTGCCTTGTAAGATGAAATGGAACTGGAAGTGCCCACTGTGGCACTTCTGGTTTCTCCGAGCCCTCATGGCCTGGGGCAAAGCAGCCTGCACTGCCAAGCCCCCACAGCCTGGGGGCATAACAGGCTGTGTGGGTCTGTGCAGGGCCCACCTTCCTGTCCCACGGGGCCCGCAGGAGTGGTGGCAATGCTGTGGGAGGGGTGGCGATGCCATGGGTGGGGAGGAGGGATGCCCCAGACGCAGTGGGAAAAGCAGCAGCTGGGGGCCGCTCAATTAACCGGCATATTTTGTTATCTGGTATCCCCCATTCCCGGAGGATGCCAGATAACAGAGCTTTTACTGTATTTTATTTTTGATAGCTTATATTTCCCTTCTAAACTGTATTGTTCTTTTCAGCAGTGTGGCCTTCTTCCTCAATTGTGGGACTGTGACTTTTTGAGCATCTATTAAAATGTTCTTAAACAGTTCCCAAATATCACTCATATTTTTGTTTAAAACCTCTCTTGCAATCAATATGACTCATATCAGATTTGTAAAAGGGTCTTTTAAGGCACCAAGTATATATATTATTGCTTTAGACTTTATTGTGGTAGTACATAACAAATGCAAGCAAGTGATACTTACTTGTACCTAAGCTATTACTGTAATTCTGTGATTATTTCCTCTTTACGTGTTGAGGTGAGGTCTAATATAGGTGTCTCTAGTGTTAGAGGGAACATTTTTTAGTCAGAAAATTGTATTTTTTAATATTTAGAACTGTTGATATTTTAATATTTAGAAATTCATTCCCTATTGTGTCAAAGCTTTCCATATCCAATCCTATCTAATCCTTGGCAGAGGTGCCTAGAGTGACCCCATTTGCAAACAGGAAGGAAACAGCTTAATGACTTCCAGAGGACAATCCATTTCTGCATGCTGATTCAGTTCCAGGCAGGGAGTACATGCATCTTTCTACTCCCAAACCTCTCCCATTATAGCACTATGAGCTGTGTAACATGCCTTCATCAGATAGTAGTCCTCCCTGCTCCAACTTATGAAGTGGAAAAGTGCTCATTTAGGATCCCATGCACCCAGCTAGCATACTTAATAGCGAGTCCCAAAGTCTTGTGGTTCAGACACTTTCCC